AACCCAGAAGACAGAAATCTTCATACTCATCGCCCTGATGATGGAGGCAGTATGACCTCTGAAACGTTGGTAAACATCGACCAGACTACACAGCGCAACAACCCAGAAGACAGAAATCTTCATACTCATCGCCCTGATGACGGAGGCAGTATGACCACAGAAACGTTGGTAAACATCGACCAGACTACACAGCGCAACAATCCAGAAGACAGAAATCTTCATACTCATCGCTGTGAAAACCTCAAATCTTACAATGAAACAGTTGATGATGAATGGCCTCTGCATACTGGAAACCAACTACAATCAGTTTCACTGGAACTGTGGACTCTGAGTCTGAAATTGCCACTGCCTTAACAAATTCTAAACTTTCTACACTACATGATATTTATTCTGCAACAATTGGTGATGTAGTGCATGATACAAATAAAAAAGCTACTCAAAACTATTACAGATCCATGGATGATACTTTGCATTCCAGACTCCATGCATTCTTTGAAAGCAACACATGAAATATTAAGATTCCTTCGTCTGATTATATGGATGGATCTAGTTTACTTTCTGAGTATAGATGATTACTGAAGCATCAATTTCCTGCATAAGAATAAAGTGGCTCCAAATGGTAAGAGACAGTAATCTCGAATTACTCTACTGAATGTGGCAGTTTTCTGCCAATCAGCATAATAATAATAATAATAATAATAATAATCCATGACAGTTCATGAGCACACAAATGAAGAATGGAGAAACAGTAAAGTAAAGTAAAGTAAAGTAAAGCTGTCCCACTATATGCCATGTAGGCGCTTGGGGGAAGAGGATGAAAAACTGCTACTCATTCTTAACCTCAGCACTAGAAGGGGTAAGGGCGAACGCACACCAACTGCGTCAAGACAAGCATCAAGACATGAGACAAAAGACGCATTATTGCTTCATTTGTGATTCAGACTCGAGTCCACACACCGCGTCTTATCACATCTTCTCTAGTTGATAATCGTATATTACCGGGAATTTCTCAACCATCTGCACTATCTTAATATTTGTTTACTCTTCACTCATGTCGATAACATACACTGGTGCTGTTACTTGAGTACTGATGTCTCAGTCCTGACGCACAGAAAAGGAACATGCCGAGTCTCGCTGCATGTGTCTGCAGCATGAAGCTGAAATGAGCATCATGACTCACACTGGTGTGTGGCAGTTTTCATAATCTCATTCGTTTCAACTGTGCTCCTTTCTTTGCGTCATGTTGTAAACATCGTGTCTTGACGCATGCCGGTGTGTGGCCTACCTAAGTGGTCAGCATCACACCCCAGCCATGCTTTACCCCCGGGAAAGGACCCCAGTACCCATTGGATGGGAGGCTGGGTGGGCCCCAGAACCAGTCTGGATGCAGAGGTTAGAGGAAAAATCTTCTGCGTCAGTTGGGGATCGAACCAGTCACTATACTAACTGAGCTACGCCGGCTCACTATGGAGAAACAATGGTATATAAAATATGAGAGGATTACCGTTATCAAGTGGCATGACAAGTGGGAGGTACTGATCTTGAGCACAACATTTCAACAAGACTGTCAAGATAAGAAAGCACAATAAGATTAGTATAAAACCTTCGGCAATAACTGATTATAATGGAAGTAAATTGTCGAGCATATATTGCGCTATTCAACTAGCATCCAAGGAAGTATGAAGTGGTACAGAAATGGAACTGGTAACAGAACTGGTTCTTCACACAACACTTGTAAATTCACACTTCTTTTACAAAAAAATAACTCAAGAAAATGTGATGATTATGAAATTCAGAGAACTGATTACCAGAAGGTTACAGTACATGGACAAGTGAAGAGAAGAGAGGAGAGAGAGTGAGAACACAACTAAATTTTCTGATAGGTCCTCTTCCCACTCCTTCAAGCAGAGAGAAGGTACCGGCAGAACTAGCCACAGGTATCGCTAAGGTGGCTACTAAAATACAGAGTAAAAGGATGCCTAGAAAGGACAAAGTTCTTAAAGTAATGACCAATGATGATGACTATAGGTTCTTCTCATTACTGTACGGAGTGCTTTAATAATGTATACCAGTGGTTCTCAACCTTTTGGTGCTTATGGCACACTTGGGATATTCATTTTCTTTCAGCACACTAGAATTATAGTATCCAACAAAAACTTATAATATAAGTAAACCAATTACTAGAAATCTTAACTTGGCCTAGTCCTGAACATACTTTGTTTTTGGTTAATATTATTTTCACACTTTTCACTGTCACATTTTCTTGCAACAAATCTGTCCCTTATTAAGAACACTACTGTTAATAATTCTTCTTTTCAACAAAGGACACTACACTGAACACAACTTGTGTTGAGGAACAAAGAACTTTGCATACACAAACAGATATTTACTGTTAGTGGCAGACTCTACAAACAGAGTCAGCAAAGAGAGCAATGAGGTACTTTCAAAGCCATTGTTACAACACCACCACCAACAGTAACTGCTACTACCACTGAGACTAACTAATTTTCTGCTTCCAGGTTTAAAATCTTCCCCATAGCAACTGAAGATGATTCCCAGAAGTCACATAAATTACAGATACTTTTTTTATGGGAAACATATCTGCAAACATTTAAAAATAAAAATAGTGAATAATATTACAATAAGAGTCACTGTAACAAAATTGATACAAACTACATAAGACAAGTAGCACAAATTGATTCAAAATGTAATATTTAGCTTTCAATATGTTATAAAACAATAATAGCTGCATAAAAAGTGGTGAATATGCATTAGTTGAAAGTAGCGATTTTATATAACTGACAAAAGAATTACGTAATTGGCAACACATATATTTTTTGAGAGATAAGATCATGACCTTTAGACTACGCTCAAACAGAAGCAATACTGAAGGAATTTTTGCCTAAAACAGAGCTAATTAAAAAAATGTTAATTCCTAATTCATACTTACAATTGCTATAAGCAACTTCATAAATGCAAAATTACATATCATTATCACTGAACCAGACATGTGTAATGGTACCCACAAGTCACAGTGGGTGGATAAACTCCCTTTCATTATGACCTTGTTGCTGGCATAGAAATACACCAAAACAACATGGAGCAAGCAAAGAGTCTTTGCGGCAGTCATTGCTGACTGCCATGTCAGTGAAAATGTCTATGCATTTATGAGTAAAATTAATTTACAATGACAAGTAATAAACAAAGAAGTTCTATTTTGAATAAATGTAACACCTCACTTACTTGAATAACCATTTTAATAAAATTGCCCATAACTGCCGTACTGAGAGAACTGAGTAATCAAAATTGAGATAACGCAGTCCTCATGAAAATGTGTAAGTAATGACTAAGAACCTTTCTTTATATTTTAAATATACATCTACTGTGTTGAAGAGCTTATAGACAATGCTGCTTTATGAAAGCAACAAATAATTTAAACAAAATATAGGCAGCCTTCAAGTTGCTCACTTATACTTTTATACAACATTCACTAATGTGGTTTCAGTGCATATGTACTGTTATTCCCATGGATAAGTCAGAGATTTTATGTTCATTCAGTGATACAGGATGAGCACAAAAGAACTTGAAATTTGAAACACGTCTGCCATAGTTTCCATCACTAGGGACACTGCACAAAGTATGGATCAGTTGGATTACTGTCTCACTTGCAAGGCACATACCGAGTCTCTCTGAAGTGCGTACCAAAGTATGCGAGTTTTTCTACACACTGGTGTAGGTGCGAAGTTCACAGTATTCTGCATTTGTTTTGGGTATCATTTGAAAATGTAAGGTTCTTTTGTGCTTATTCTGTATAATCTGGAAGACAGAATATGACAAATGTTAGGCGAATCTTACATAAACACAAGACATTAATGTAAAAACACACCACTAAAAATAAGGAAAGGATCACAGAATGTGAGTAAATGAGATTTCAGGTTCTCAAGGTGGCAACTATGAAAATGACTGTCTTCAGGGATGTTGAGCCATGCAGGTTGATAGACGTTTACACAAGTTGCAGAGGTGCTTGCTGCCTCCACCATCCGGGTGATGATACATCAGTAAGCATCTACCAAACTACACAGTGCAACATCCCAGAAGACAGTCATCTCCATGCGAGTATACACTGAAACATTTAAAACAATTATCAAATTCCTTCACAATCTTGGTTCTTTTAACTTAGAGACATAAAAACATTTCTTATTGTCAATCAATCCTCCTGTCTGTAAAATTGAAGCTTTCATGGTGACTGAACACAGTGAAGTCTTCTTGGACAATCAGTTGTGTGAGAATGGCAATGTAATATAATGTTTCAGAGACTATCTCTGCCTCCATGATCAGGGTTGATGATGATGATGGAGGCTTTGAAATTTGATTACAATGCCATTTTCACATGGCCCCAGAAGACATCACTGCAAGTTCCTGTATCATTTAAGAATATCTGTGTTATGCTAGTAAGTTCTTTACTGCACATGATAGACTGAAAACTTCATATTTGATATTACAACCATAGTCAAAAAATTAAATTAAAAGAATCAAGAGACAAACATACAAGTATGTATAATGCAACCATCAGAACACAACAACATAATTGGTATTAAATGCACAAGTGTGGTCTAAAAACAATTACCATACATATTTGACAGTTAATTATAACATAATAATTTTAATTAAAATTAATTTGAACATCACTAGCAAGCACCTTTTCCGAAACATGTTATTGGAGACAAAAAATACATAGTATATCATCACGTTAAAACAGTTTGGATTATAATACCTAAAGGTTTCTATGTACCAAAAACATTACAAAACAGAATTATTGCACTGGCACTAACTCACAATTATAATAAGTGTTTCTACAGATTTACTTATAAATCTTCCATAAATGACAGGGAATTTTTTGACTAGCTGACAGACATTTAGCTTCTTCAAGAAGACCTATAATCTATGGAGTTAATTAGTCAGTAGGGTTTTCACTTACATAGTCCTATAATTGTCACATTTTTCTGGAAAGGAGGCCCTTTTTCTTCAGTTGCTTCAGGGCACATTTGGCAGCAGTGCACTTAGCAATGCGGTAATTACGCCCAATTCCTTTGAACGTACCTTTCCCAAACACCTCTACTGTTACACGCACACGCCGACCATCAGCCAACTTTTCTGGTTTCCTGCAATTTAATAAAATGTGATGAAATGAAGCAATTCATCAAGAAATACTACAGTCACCAATCACTAGTCTCTGTCATTGGACAGCTCTATCTAAGGGACCCAATAGAGTAGGTAGTACCTCTCACCTGAAGACCGAGACAGAACCAGCCTCCAGAATGGCGTGGGTTTTAAAGAATAGATGATGGAAAAAGTCTTGACAATGAATAATTTTAAAAATACACAAAGCATAAAAGAAAATATGTAACTTATATGAACGTGAATCAGGATTCTTAAGACTGAAGCACAATTAGTTGAAAGAAACAATAGTAATGTTAGTAAAAATACTTGGAAAAAAGTGAAATATTCCTTAAAGAAAACATCCATGACAGTTAAAGAGACGATACATACAAATTGAAAGGCGGAGGGACGTATGGTGGTTTGTATAAAATCTTATGTACCTCAAAATATGCACTACAGACTGCTGTTTACATAACTTATGCTTCCAAGAAATGTGGCTTAATTATAAAACACAATTACCCAAATTTTGCAGTTTCAGGTTCCAGTTCAAGCAATTCACGAATAGGAGATTTTGGTACATTAGTGCTGAATTGCTCTGGAACATAAGAAAATAAATTTATTAAGTACTGTACACAATTAATTTTCTTTGTATTTTCAAATGAGAGCTCCTCATCCATGTTTTTTTGTTTTCCAGGACTTCATCCACTATGTAAATGGAGAAATGAGGAAAAACATGTCGCTATTATATTCACAGATGATGAGGTACTTTTGAGAATATCAACATCAATGTCTACATCACTTTAAGCAGTAACACACTATGACAAGAAAATGAAATACATGATAAGCAAAGAGCCTGGATTTTGCTTCAAAGTTTCAATCCAAACCAATGGTAAAGTTTGAATTAAAATACATGGGTGTTCAGATATCACTAGTTTAAATATAATCAGTTGGAAGATTGTTACCTAAATAGGTTCCCACCACTGATCACCAGTATATAAAATAATAGTAAACATGGCTAGCGGATGAATATCAGAATTGGTCTTCGAGTTTAGCTTTGCAGAGCTTTAACATAAATACCACTCAAATATATGTTTTGATGGGTATATGAGTTAATACATAATTCTTTACCTATTTCTGTCTTCATCATTTGGTAGTACACTCTCCAGACAGCATCAAGAGACATTCCACTATCCAGAAAGATAGCGCCAGCAACTGACTCAAACACATCGCCAAGAGCTTTCGGAACCTCCACGTCCTCAGCTTCCTCACATTCTTCCTCCTCAATAAGGTAATACTGTAATAAAGCAACAGTCTGTTAGAGGGAGAAAAACTTCAACGAAATATAAATTTAAGTATAAAGTCTATCTTTGCATATGGGTAATGGCAACAGCCTTTTACACATGTGTAACTCTTACAACATGTTGTCAAAGTAGGATAGCACAGTAAGAAGTTAAATGTTCAAAATGACTAAGAATGTTGAAAGTCGTCTACTAAGCATCACTACATTCAAATATGGCACATATCAGTGTCCATATTACCAGTTCATTTGTATGTGTGTAAGTTACTACCAACATCTGTACATTTTTTAGTAAGAATTTAGTTGCAACATAATGATTTATATTTATTGGAGATACCTTAACAAATGATTTCCTTATTCCTTCACTCTTGTACTGACCTCTTCACTGATAGTATGGCCATTTTCTTCCTGTATGCGTACAAAACGATCTACCACTTCATTAAGTCCAGGTGACAAATGTCGGAAATATTTATGGAATCCATAACGAACAGCAAGGGAAGCAAATATTGTGTTGTTGACAAGAGCTGAACGAAGATCAGTGAGAGCACCAGGAGAGTGCTGACGAGAATCTTCATACAGATGGCGTGTAATAAGGTAATCTGTAACGTATACATATTACAAAATGTAGCCAAAGGCAGGAGATGAGGAAATAGTTATGGTTTTAGCTAAATCAGAATAGAGTTGTTTAACAAATTATTTTATTACAGTAATAAACACATGGTTTTCAGAGTCAACAAACTGGTATGCTAAACATAGCATGTTGTTACTATTATTATCATCAATGCTGTTTGTAGCTGCTGCTACTGTTGTTATCAGAATTTCAGTGTGTTAGTAGGAAACACACTTCTTACTCCTCTGATGAGATAACACATGCAAATATTTTTTGTCTTTTTAGGGTTCAGATGAGATAGATCACAAAGGTACAGGTACAATGTATTCCATCTATGACATTTCTGTCGGCCTGTATTAACAAGTTCTCAAGCATTACACATTCAATATAAAACTCAAGAAATTTCATGCTTGTTTTGCTGTTTGCACTGATTTCATAGTAAATGAAGAACAGTGTGCACTTTTCTTTTTCAGTTTTTAATGATTAGAGAATAAACATAACATGTTGGCTAAACAGTCGAAGTAGGATTTGAGGTTTTCATGGAGATGAGTTTGAAGATGTCTTCTGAGTTGTTGTGCCATGTAGTCTGGTAGAAGTTTACTGATGTTTCTGAGTTCCATGCTGCCTCCATCACGGCAATGATGATGGAGGACCTCTGAAATGTCGGTAAACTTCTACCAGACTATACGGCACAACAACCCAGAAGACAGTCATCTTCAAACAGTTGAAGGGTCACACTACATGACAAGTACCTAGCACAGCATCACCAAGGAACTCCAATCGTTGATAGCAGTCAGTGAGTCTATTAGGTGAATAAGATGCATGTGTAAGAGACTGTAGCAAGTAGCTTTGATCTCTGAACTTGTAACCAATTCGATGTTCAAACACTTCATAGCCATCCAACAGCCTCTTCAGCTCAGTCTCTGGGCTATTTATATTCCTCAATAAGGGAGACTTGGGTGCTTTTAGTGTTCCATACCTTATCTAAAAATAAATGATATAAAAATTATTATAAAATGTCTCACATTCACTTCTGACAACACTTTTCTGATTTTACCTGTCTTCTATTGAGCTCATCTACATAATTAAAATAAGACATAAATTAGAATAGAGAAAACATTTATCTTATGAATCTCACTAAAAAAATAAAATCTGATCAAAGCAATAAATAATACATTACAGGATAAATATCTACCTATATAATAAACAAGTGATGGTAGGTTGATTGGTTGATTGCTGATCAATAGCTGTTAAGGGATTTTCAGCCTTATGGGATAATATTTATGACTATGTACATGTACTTCTATGCAATGTAGTACAGTTATTACAACCTAAATATAAAATTATACTTGAGACTACACTACATTAAATCATATTATGTTTTTTTGATTAAGCAAAGGTGAGTAATGATTTTAATTTTTTGTTATACATAAGTTACTTTCAATTATTATATGCTGCTCTGTGGAAACCATGCACTGATGCATAAAACTGTTCACTCATCCGTAGCCTACTGTGTATATGAACTTCTATACAACACAGAAAGACAGATGTCAGACATTAATAATTAACAACATGTGTAATTAAGCAAAGAGAAAGAACCATTTTAATTTTTATATGCTGCTTTTATAAGTTTTCAATAAAAATGTGTTCTTTTAGGAAAGATTTTCCCGTCATTCTTGGCAGGAAATTTTCTATTATGTATATATGAATTTAAACAAAAATACCAAGAATTTGGATCATCTATGATTTCAATGCATCAAGGTTTTAACTTACCATTTATTATTTACTTTGCTAGACACTTCAAATGTTATCATATTTGATCCTATGGCGAAAACATATAACAATTAAAATTTTGACCCCACACTTCTCCAAACAATGGGTGAGTCAAACATTTCAGAGAGGAAAGTATCATGTTAAATGCTGCAATGATTAGCCTTCTGATATCAAACAGGGAAGTTAAGTTCCATTACTCTCCAGTTAATTTCCCCTCTCCCAAAAAGCATGAAACTGCATAGCTGGAAAATTAGGCAAAATAAAGTACAACATAACTACATAACTTGTTATGTTTATTACTGTCAAAAACTTTTGCCATTAAATTATGTAAGTTTAAATTTCTAAGGTTATATAACAAAGAATACTGTGTACCTGTTTCTTTTGCACCAAAGTTAAAGAGCCGTCATCCCCGTTGACTATTTCCGGCAACAAACTTCCCACTGATCTTGATTCCTCAGTATCAGAACATGAAACAGTATATATAACTTCTTTCTTCGGTAAAACACAGATTCCTAACCAAGCCATGAACAAAAGTGCGCCACGTGGCCCACAAGCTATAAGGTATGCTCCTATCATTGCCTCAACACAGTCAGCTACACTTTTATCAGGAATGCTATGTTGGGTAATAAGATTATAAGGGATAAAACAGGGAAGATTTTCAATGTTGGTGTATGGGCCAGATGTCAGCATGTCCTCAGCTACCCCATCTTCTCCACTGCTCATCTTGTGTAGTTTCTCACTTCGTTCATGCACAAGTTTACAGATCTCATCACGCGACAAATCCCTCAGAGCAGGCAGGTCTGCTTGATTCCAATGGCTGGCAGGAACTCCTGCTTCAATTAAAGCTTGTTCCAATTCTCGAGGTACGTAGTAACAAGGTGGCAACCAATTGTCATGGGGTTCAAACTTTGTAGCAATCATACTTTCACCAAAAACTTTCCGGCGCCCCAATCGGTACAAGTTCAGGTTGCTGACCTGCAGAACAGAAATCAGAGATTTTTAACAATATTAAAATTAAGTTCTGTAAAATATTGATACACAGAACGTTAAATTAATAAGATTTAAATTTCATGAAATTTGATGTAACAAAATTAAACTTCATGAAGTCATAATATAAAAATAAGCAGATATACTAAGCTGTAATATGTAGGTTGAAGTACCCTCTTTACATGTGGCCAGTCCAACAAATAGTTTGAATTCTTTTGTGAATTTCTTCAGTCTCTCTAGAATACTGCAGAGACAATATCTTCAAACCGATCATGAGCTCTCATTCTAACATCATTAAAATGTATCATTTGTATTAATCTTTATCTCATCTTGTGAGCAAGTTCTACAATTAATTCACTATCATTAGGAGGGGGGGGGAACTGCAAAACAGTAAAACAAGAATCACATTCTTGTATGAATATTTATGATAACTTAAGTTTTCTACAGAAATTTTTTGAAGGCTCATATCAATAAACTGAGCCAACAAAAACAACAGAAACATAAATGTTCACAGATAAAAGTTGTATGGAATAAATATTGTAAAGCAGTTCTCCGTGGCATCCCAACAATTACTCCATACACGCAGAAGAAGGCAATGGCAAACCACTTCTGTATCACCAGCCTAAAAAACATATATGAACAGGTCTCAGTCCGAGAAAAGGATGGAAGGATCCTGTTCATAATATGTCGCCAACCTCCTGTAAAGGAGACGTCGTAATAAAGAAGAACAAAAGAAAACAATTAATGAGAATCTTCATGGTTTGCTCTTAATGAATAAAAGCAAGGTAGCATTTCATTCCTGACACAACCTTAACATGTGTTAAAAAAATAATGTCAAATATTTAATCTTGTAATTGCTAAGTATGTTAAGAGCCCAAAACACAACTTAAGACAATTTAAGTGTATTCGTGGATGATTTACAACTGAATTAGTCTTAACAAAGAAAATAGATTGTTAATGGTACTATCCCAATATGTGCCCCCAAAAGATAACTAACTGTGAATTACAAAGTTAATGTGAACTCCTTTTATTCGTTTATTCATGGAAACATACAATTTTAGTAGCAGCTCTCACCTGTTTTGAACGGAGGTGGCTGAGTTTACCCTCATGAATGTTGTCATAAGTGCAGTAGAGGTAGGTAGTGATGGCATACTTAAGAAACGAGTCTCCGATAGTCTCAAGACGTTCCAGGTTGATCCCATCATTCGCATTTGACATGGTAAGTGCCTGAAGAATTACACTAGGACTTGGTCCTGGATGTCCATGCAAATCTGGCTGGGCGTCAAAACTGAATTTACTGATGATGTCTTTATCAGGGTCACTCTCCTGGCAAATATCAGCTTCAAATTGTCTATTGCATACTTCATCTGCTACTACTTCCACTTCTTCAGAACTACCATCTTCTGATAGACCACTATCATTATTGTCTAGTCTTTCTGGTGAAGGTAAAAGGGCAGATTTTACTGCAGAACTCTGGATTTTAATATGCCGACTAAATGGTAAATTTAGTTCATGAAACGCTAACTGATTCTTCACTGTACAATAATTAGATTCAGATCTGATCATACATGTAGTACTTGGAGAATTTTGATTTAGAGGCATTTGCTGACAACCTTTTCTGGTCATCACTAATGCTTGGTTACTTTTCACAAGCGTTCCGCTATTTTCAATAAAGTGACGGTTTTTCTCAGTGGCTTTCTGAAACTGGCAAACAAATCTTTCAGTAAGTTTATCAAGGTTATCATCACTGTAATTTTCCCAGTCCCATGGAATCTTATCTTCAGTCCCAGATATGTCCGAGTTTTGACGAATGATAGCACGCCTCCTCTCACGCTTCTGTACCTCATGCTCATCCTCGATTGCTTCTGCTACATTTTCACTTTTAAACTCAATTCGAAGTCCTGATGCACCCTGATAAGAAGATTAAGTAATATATTAATACCAGTTTTACTTGAACACTGTGGAGCACTTACATGTAACACCTGACAACAATTTTGTTACAAGAAATGAAAAGTCTGTCAATAAGATAACAGGCATGATGATAAACAATCCGAATTTCTACCGAAAGCAACAAAAAACTAAACATATTTTAACTGATAAAGAAGACAAAATGTACGACCAATTTTCCGATCTTACATTAGATCCTGAGGAAAAAGACGAAGTATAACAACAACAACAACAACAACAACAGTAACATACATACACAAAACATATAAAACACAAGATTTATACATAATATGATTGTATAGTTCATGAGTTCAGCCGTAACTCATTCTTCTTAAGAAAGAGAAAGAACTGCAGATCCCCAGCCAAATAAATTGAGATTTAACTCGATCACAAACTAGTCAAATATTCAGGGACAAAGGAGGTAGCAGGTAAAATGCAAATAAATGAGACAGAACTATGAACCAACTGTCTGTCAATGTTGGTCTTCTGGGTGATAACACCATGAGGACTTGTAGGAAAGAGACCAATATTTCACAGGAAAACTAACATTACTACCCCAAAAGACCAACATTGACATCACCACTTTGAGAACCTCTAATGTGATACAGGCTACCATCTACTCAAAAACTAATTTAATCATACCAGTATACTGTCCTCACCTGAAAATCACTGCTGTCAGATATATCATACTCATTGCCAGGTTCACTGCATGAGTCATCTGTTTCAAAGCCATCTAAATCTTGTTCTAGGCCACCAAAGTACCTTCCACTACCCATCCAACTGCTTGGAGAGCCATAACGAACACGCTCACGGCGTTTGCGTGCTTGAATGCCGGTCCCCCAGTCACTTCCCCCAGAATGGAGACCAGCCAATTCTGCATCCTCATCCACCATTGTTAGATTTGATGGTAATGCTACGTTCATATCAAAATCATCTGCATCTGACAACTCTGAAAACTAATTGTAAGCCACAATCAGTTGAAAACTGAAACATCTACAGTACAAAAATCTTAAATATAAAAATCACTAAAAAGGAAGCATACACTCTAAATATTTGTACATATTAAAATGGTGGTGGAGAGAAAATCTCAAAGGTAACAATCAGTGCATTTTTACTTTCTGCCACACGTCTATGTACAAAAATTAAATGTGACAGATTTTCATGAAACTTAAAACCCACTAGAAACTACTACGCCTTTGTAATTTTAATCTCCTTTCATTAATTATACTAATGCGACAGTCATGTGAACTTCTGAGATGAGAGTGACACTAGTACAGTGATGGTGAACCTTTTTACAGCTGCAATTATCCCAGCTAGGCTCACATGCCACAAATATATGTATGTCTGTGTATCAATGCAGTAATCAAGTACCTTTAAACACATACCACAATTATTCTTTAATATATACATTTATTTTTATATATTTTTGTATAATGTGTGAAAAATAACATCCACATTCTAACAAGGAACATCATACAGTTGAATAAATACGATATATTTCAAAGTGTATTATTACAATGCTATGCTTTTATTTCAAATTGCTGCCTAAATAATTCTACTTATAAACTTCTCTTTTGCCTGAGATGCTGGGAGTCATTCATTCTAAGCGCACAATGTAAGCAATAAAAGTGTTTTTTGCAACATAAGAAATCTTGTAAGAGAACATGACTTAACCTGGAAAGAAAGAGCTGTAATTTGAAAAAGAGGCTTTTCCAGGCTTGTTTTTGTGACAACTACTTTCACTATTTTGGTGTGTAGAACCCACCCTTATATCTGTGCCAGACCTTTAGCAATACACTCTATATTTGTTTTGATTTATAATTATGGGCACTTCTGTTGCTTTATTTTTCATATGCTTAATGCTTATGTACCAATACAAATGAAAAGGTGTACCAACCGACATAGGATCATGATTTGCCATATCATTTGACCAGGTTCCAATTTCCATCCAATCACCACGAAGTTTCTTTTCTTCCTCTGTCAAGATTTCATTAACAGACTTCTCTTTTAACTCAGATTCCTCTTCCTTTTCTTCAGTGCTCTGAAGTTCTGCTTTATCTTCACCTGGCTTCTTATCTTCCTTCAGTTCAGCATTCTTAGCATTTTCTTTGGACTTTTTCAGAACATCTGCAAGACTCCAACCAAAATCCAATGGTGGCCATTCGAAACCTAAACAGCAATAACAAAAATTCTCATTTTATATATACCATATTAATACATTCCTATTATTTATAGATCGGTGGCTCTGTTTATGAGGCACATTTTATAAAAATGTAACATCTATATGACCAATATCTTTGTTACCATCCAACCACAGAGAATGGTGCTGGAATTTGAAACATTTTGAGACATGCCACAGCTACTACATTTTTCTTAGATTGTGCATACACAATGATCCTTGTATAGTCTTCACTTTAATTTTGCCATGGAATGTAGTGACAAGACTCAGAAATGTAATTAAAATTTATTCAAGTTCCTTTTCAAATTAGACATATATATTATTGTATTTATGTAAGAGAACTGACATTACAAGCTGTAATTAATGGAAGGTACAAAACAGCCAGGAATGGACAAATACAAGGAAATTACAAATCACTGGTTTTAGACTTCACTTGTGAAATTTTTAAACACTTGATTTACTTCTTTTTTTTTTTTATATATATATATCTTAACTGCGTCATGTTTGTGTTTAATCAATATAATAATTCATTCACCGTCGATACACAAACTTAAAATGTTGTTAAAATTTACTTAAAATTACATAAAATTACAACATTTTTTAGAATTAGATCTTGATACATTTCACATTTGACGACATGTTTCGGTGTATTACACCATCATCAGGTCAATCAATTGATTTACGTTGCATAGAGAATATTACAAGTTCTTAAAACTACCTTCACTGTAAACTGTACACAGATACTAACTAAAGTAAAGAATAATATTTTTTTCTGTTTGCAGTTTCTACTCAATGTATTATCAGTGTTAGTAAATACAACACAATCGCACAGTTTATGTATTGATGGTTTATGTAACAACACTGTAAATGGAATGGAATACATAGCATTAAATGATAGGATGATCAGTGAATAATAAATTGGAAAAGATGTGGAAGAAGTGGTCAAGCCTAATTTAAGGTAATACCTCAGCATTTGCCTGGAGGGACTGAGAAATACCATGACAAATCTCAGTCAAAATAGTTGGTATCCAGGCCAAGATTTACAACCAGGATATCACAATTATGTAGCAGGAGCGTTAACCGCTTGACCCCAATATTTGGTAACATCATGAAGCAAACATGTACACAGAAATAATAAGGTTCTCACTTGAGCTGAGGTTTTCATGTCCAAGAGCAATACAGGAAGCAACTTCTCGTCGAATTTCATCTGCCAGCAGCAGTGCATTTATGCGGTACAAAATGCATGGAAGACATACAGCTTTGCGCCACAATGAAGCTGGAAACAGATGTAGAGTACACAACTCTGGCACCAGTATTTGTTTCTGCTCCAAGTTCTCACGTTTCGCACGCTTCGTTTCCTCACTGCTTGTTGGAAGAGCTACGCCCTTGCGATTTACATATCTATAATTATTAACATTACAAACAGTTATAAAAACAAAGCTGAAATGTAATGAATGTAGAGCACCTAAAATAACCCTTTATGCGCTATATTTTTCAAGTTCCTATAATGAACCGTGTTGCAAATTTTTGTTGTTGGTATTTTTAGGTATTTTATTACTATATTTTTGATGCATACATCTTATTTATGGCTTATCCTATGATTGTAAATCTAACTGAAAATGCTTGTAGATATCTTTTCCACTGCTGCTTTCACCATGCCATATTTATGACTGCCATGTTTACCAATAGGTAATTTCACATCAATTCAACACATTTCAGAAAGATCAGGAACACTCAGCATCACCAAATTCTGTACAGAAAGAAAAATTCAGAAGTGCTCCACTTACTGACTCTGCAATTTTTATATATATATATATATATATATATAAACAAAAAACAACAACAAACAAATCTGATAAGAACCAAAAAGAAATTAAATTGATACAGAGTTAATAAAATATAAGAAAACTTTTTAAATTAAGGACAACATACTTTCAGAACACGTAGTGGCAAAGTTGTTAAATTCCTGACTTTTTTAAAATTAAAATAATAAAACCAATATTTATGAAATGAGATTAGAATCACTCATAATTATAGAAGCAGCTCTCATTATACATATGTGTGATTCACAGTCTTTAAAAGAAGTGCTAAGGTGGCACTCTAGCATTCATAGCACTGGGGCATCACCCCTGATACTAATGGAAGAAGAGAGTAAAAATTTTGGTAAGTTTACTATGCTCTTCTACTTTAAAGCCCAAAATTTACTGTACCTTGGTGTGAGGAAATTTAACCTTGCTGAAGTGTGATCCACATCTAGGAGAGGCTGCTTGCTATTTTGAATCTGGATACCATATTTTTTGAAGTAATACTCATCGAAAGTTTTATACTCAGACCCAGGAAACGAAGATTTGGGATTTAAATGTCCACAGATTTCAGCAACATAGAAGTACTGAAAAAAGAGAGAAAACTCTCAAGACAAACTTCATGGATATGATTTGGGAAATAATAACGCAGAAAATACTTCAGCATTCAGTCTTCCACAAAACTGATACCCTGAGTCAAAATCAGTCACCAGGTTACATCTAACAAAAATTATAATGGAATCCCTCTTCAGCAATTTTTGATTTAACACATTCCCTTGCTTAAGCTCAAATTCCACATAAGCTAAATATTGTCTCTGTGAAGTATACAGTTCATCATCGATGCGATAAAACGATAGTTCGAGGAACGATAGAAGCGGGAAAATGTAACATTATTTTATATGGGATGTATTCGGGACCGAACAAAACGGACGATGCATCCGGGAAAACGATAGTTCCGGGAACGATGGATAGAGGTTTCACTGTACTTCCATTCCTTCACTAATTTGATAAACTTCAGTGTTCCACTGTGACATACATAGAAGTTGAAAGACAAATCTCAGTTGATGCACCGTATCAAATAATGCATAGTTTAAAGAAGTATGAAATAATTAAACTTACTTGTGGCTGATCCTGATTGCGGTACCAAGGCATGATAACAGCATCATGATATTTTTCTGCCTCAAATATAAAATTTGTTCTTTCATTTTCTGGTATTGGACGAGGTCGAAGGTCTCGATTTTCATATATGCTATCAAGAAAGTCCCAGTCTACTTCTGCTATGCTCCCTTTAACTGGAACAGAATATCACCATTGTCTTGAACTCATTTGGAAACACCTCTTGTTGGCACAATACAAATTATTTGCTAATAGAGTAATGCTCTACAATAATAATTCTCTGCTCGTATGACCCAACTTGCATGATCACAACAGCACACCAAACTGAGTTGTGGCACACTGAACAAACAATGACTGCTTATTTTAGTTATCAAGGTCAATAGTGAAGTTTTAAATCACAGGATACCTAACAAGTGGCTGTGATATTCACCTGATTGCGACAAATATTCAATTCCTGTGAACCATCAATATATAACTTTTCATGTTTAAAACTAAATTTGCATATGAGATATTAATATCTTTAAGTTTCCTGTTTTTTGTGAACATGAAACAAAAAAAAAAAGTCTTACAGGACTCTGAATATTTTGAAAAACAACTTTTAACAAAAAAACACACCGTGGTTTCCTGTGCAGCAGAAAGATTGTACTCATAGTAGTGAAAGAATTAAAAAGTTAATACGTAATATATTTTGTACCACTGACCATCAACAAAACTAACTTTTTAAAACTATAAAATATTGAATTCATTGACAGTAGGTTTCAATAAAAAGTATCATCATCAGACCAATATCAACTATTATACACCAACTGAAATCATGAACACAATACAGGTGGCACATTAAATAATCTTAAAGCTTGATTGACTGGGAGATTCTTACATTTCCTGGTTGGTACTATGAAGTATGAGTTTTCTGAAGCTTGAGGATCAAACATCATGAGATACTTCTGTAACCGCAAAACATTGGTAAAAGTGTAATTGAGGAAGGTGACAATTTTCTCCAGTCTATCAGGTGTGAAGACTACGCCTGATTCTGATAATTCCAATTTCACACTCACTTCTCCAGAACGAGTGAAGATTGGGAAGGGGCATATCTGTAAAAAATAATAAAAATGCAACATTTACAAATAAATATGCAGTGTTTGTACAACTCTGTGATAACCTAAATTTAGTGAAAACTGAAATGAAAATAATGTTAATATTCAATATATATTCTTCAAAACTATTATACTGTACAAACTATAAAAGAAAAGAAGAACTTTAACTAAAATCATCCAACAGAATGATACTGTACAAACTATAAAAGAAAAGAATAACTTTAACTAAAATCATCTAACAGAATTTGCTACATTTTATTACCGTAGGAATTTGCTTGAGTGTAAGGATTCCAAAGCCTTGGGGTGAATCCTCAGGAGGATAAATTTTTCTGCCTCTTGTATTTTGCTCTTCAGGAAGAGGACAAGTGAGCACCATGCTGATATGGTACAAATATGCAGGCTGTCCTGGGACTGGTCGACAATCCGTTAGAGAATCTGCAATCTAATTAATGCACACACGTCAGAAATCTGAGGTTCTCATGGATGTGAAGACCACAACAGACATAATGTGCAAAACAAAATGAAAAGGTAATGATCATTCAATTTGTAGAGGAGAGCTAAAGATGCAGAAAAATACAAAATAAATCAAGAGAAGTAGAATGACATGTTAGAAGAATGGACAACATCAGAATACCAGAAGATAACCTGTAATGAAGATGGGTGGAGGAAGTAAGAGATATAAGGAAAACAAGGCTAGACTGGAAGAGAGCAGATGAGATGTAAGAATGGTCAGATATGAGACGGCCGGAGACTCCTATGCAAAATTCAACTTGAATGCATAGTCACTATTCGCTTTAGAAGTGTGTTTCCCTCCAGTTGAATCTGGTTCAGATGGTTGGCAGAAACAGAAACATTATGCCTTCTGGTCAAACATTAGCAGCAATTCCTTGAACAATAAGTGTTCCCACACACACTTTAATTCATATGTTTTCTGAAATCACCTCAATGTGACAAATGTTCACATCTGTGACAGCTGTCAGCTGTAGTGACCATGTGGTTGGTTAGCAACCTGTTCACGGCCTTCAGAAAATTTGTTGCGCTATTCATTCACATGTGATAAGGTCTCTTCCCCACTAAAAAAATGCTTATTCCACAATCAAACCTTAAATGAGGATTTAGTATGTATGAAACAGGACAATGCTGATAAAATTACATGAGAATGTAACAAAAAATATTCACATCCTCATGAGATTCAAATGCAAACCTTAACAATAATCTGTCAATGCAAATGCCAGACTCACTGACAAGTAAAAACTGAAAACCAACCCGTTTGTAGTAGTACTGCCTTCTCTTAGTGGTACCAGGTCGAGGTTCAGAGGAGTCCCTTGGTATCATCTCATCTAGCTCTTCTAGGGCAAGAGTCATCTCCTCCTCGTGGACACGGAAGCTTTCCTTGCCAACAGGCATTAGATTGTCATCCAGTTCCTGAGCCTGGTGGAGTACTTTACATGTCTCTAATGCTGCAATTCTTCTAGCCAAAACCTTGCTGGGCATGGGCAGTCCCTGAAGACAATAAACAATTACAATTAAATGAGGAGGATAGGAGTAACACTAACAACCCCTCTGAGGCACCAGGTAGCACCCCACTGTATCAATGCCTTCCACTCAAATGGGGCTCTGCAGGCAGCAACTGTTTGTTTCCTATTTATCATGGGACAAGAATGAAATACAGGAAATAAAAGAGAAAAGGGCAAAAGCCACGCAAAGGAGCTCTCTAACACATTTCATGCACTCTGTGCAAAGAACATATTAAGTGGTACCATCCATGTTCAGGGAGGCAGTAACCAGGGTGCAAAATAGCCAAAGGTCTCAGGGAATTTAAGAGGTCAACCCTCCCAAACGACCCAGGGACACTACATGGCCAGAGACCTATAGGAAGGCCTTGTCAAACAAATTAGAAACAGCCTCATATATTCTATGTGATGGGGCATAAGCATTTCGTGAAACCATGCGATTATCACTGAAGTCCTGCTACATGCAATAATATTCTAAGTACAGAGCTACTAGCAGATAGAAGAGAATGGGGAAGCACAAAAGATCAGGAAACGGCTGTGGTGCAAGTGTTGGTCAGGCACCTACCCCACTTAAATTCATTCATCCATTCCTTGTGCAAAAACTAGTAGATACAATGAGTGCTGCGGTGAAAAAAATATGTGCGCTTTAGAGATCAACAAACCGAAAGACTGGAAGAGTAACTAATCTAGAAAACGACTCAAGTGTTCATTTCAGGAGTTTTTAATTGCACTAAGGAAGAAATCAATATAAATTGTATACAGCTAAAAGGAACCCATGTGGAATAAGTGCTATATGTTACATTATCCATTCTGTAAAATAAATACAGTGAAACCTCGATGCATCGTTTTCGGCGGGGGTGGGAAATAAAAACGATAGATGCGGGAAAACGATAGATGCGGGAAAGCATTAAAAATTTTAAAAAAAACAATGTTTCTCTTTCAAAGTTACTTCTTTTTACCAAAAAAGTCTTTAATGGACAACTGGTTTGTCGAAACTTTACGTTTTAGACCAAACAGAGTACTTTCCACGTTCAAAATGTTTTCCTCGTCACGTTCACTAATATTAAGCGCATAAAAGAACGACTTCACTTTCGCCAATGCAGCGTGTGCTTCGGCAAAACTCGGCACAGCTTCGGGCTCGCATTCGTCGTCTTCCTCTTCCTCACCACTCC